TTTTTTGCTTACCTAAAGTTATATTTATTAACTTTGTCTTTTTTAATCTTATTTTTATCATTTGATAATTTATGTGTTTGTACTGTCAAAAAAGTAGTCTAGATTTTCATTAGTGAATATTATGACATAAATAATACCAATTTTTGTTTGTTTTTCTTTCTGCTATTTTTTCTACAATTACCAAATTTTTTATATTTGTGTTTCTTCATGTACAATTTTTTTTTTTTTGTAATCTGTCTTGCTTTCTAGTGTTTTTGTTTATCTAATGTTATATATATATATATATTTTTAAAAAAAGTTATTTTTGCGGGGGGGGGGACTTCTAAAACATTTAATGTATGTAATTTGACTACAGTAAATAGATATATAGTTTAGACACCAGTGTAGCCAGGACCAGCAGTATATACACTAATTTTATGTCTCGTATATTAAAATTAGCTTCAAAAGTTATATGATATGCAAATATCTAGGATACATTAAATATATTCTAAAGGTTGTCATAGCCAGAGGTGGTAGTGGGGACAAGCTTCCACCATCTATAAATTGTTCATATAGTCTGTATCTCAAATAGCCTCTGACAAAATAAGTTCAGCTCCAGGCCAGTGAAAGGGTGAAGTTGAATTACTGGCAACTTATAACCAGCTGTTTTGGGTAGATAAAGTTTGTCAGCCCTGGAAAGCAGTCCATATAGGGAAAATTTGGGAAAACCCTGATGAAGGAAAATCCTAATTTTAAACCTCTGCTGCTTTGCAGCCATATTCAAATATGAGAAAAGGCTAAACTGGGACAGAAAATCCAGAATTAAAACCTGAAGGTAGTTGACTACCCATGCTAACAAATTTTGCAACCAAGCCAGCTCCAAATATAATTTCTTGTGAGTCACTCTAGCCTCACCACTAAAGGATAGAATTTTGACCAATCAGAATGTTGCCATTATCTGGCAAGATAAATAGATGTCTACTGTATGTATTATATTAAATCATATCCAGAGGCGGATATGCAATATAATTGGCCCTGTTCTAGCATCTCGTCTACAGTCACTTTCTCACAGATGAGCCCTTGCCTCTCTCTGTCTTTTTTACAAATACTTTCATGGTAATTGCTCCCAGACTTCATGAATTCAAGCACCCTACGAGGCTGGGATCCTGCTCTCACCCTTTCACTGTCAAAACTATTAAATGTACCCATCTCTTCTACTCCAATAGCTTCATATCTCGCACCTCTCGCGTGTGGAACTCCCTTCCCTATTCCAGTTTCCCTGAGAGCTATAATCTCCAATTATTCAAATGTAATGTCAATCGACATCTCCAGTTGCCTTGATCTATCCACTATCCTTCTCCTCATCTTTTCCTCTATCACTCCTATCTGATCTTGCTCCAAATCTTCTGTAACCCCTTGCATCCTAGTGGCTTCCCACCTTGCTTGGGGTGAAACACTTAAAAAAAAAAAAAAATCAATTGAAATTTATATTAGTAAAATAAAATTAATAACTTTTACTTAAATAAGTGGATACATTACTCAATCAAAGCCTGTTCACTTAACTTTTACCATGATTAAATAAGTGGAAATTCAGATTGATGAAGATAATATATTATTACTTAATTTTTATGAAGACACTATAAAATAAAAATGTTTTATAATTCAAGTTGCAGTATGAGTGCAATAATGTTATTGAATTGCCTGAATATCTGAAAAAGTAAGAAAAAAAGTAAAATTCATACTTTATATCATAATTAATGTGAGTCTAATAAAAAAAAATATTTTTAAATTATGAAACTGCATTTTTAACTAACTGAAAAAACAGAAACTGATTTTATTATTATATAGATTTAAAACAAGAAATTTTCATTAAGTATGTAGTAAAATCAATCAACAAATATAAAGAAATAATAAGTTTTAATCACTTGTAGAATATAAGTATATTGAAAAAAAAACATTTCATAAAAGGAATTGCATTTGTTTTAATTCCATGATCATAAAAATATCCAGCTTTGAGGGTGGACAGAATATTTCTTTATGAAAAGTTAAGTATTTGTTTTAAAAAAAAAAAAAAATCTAAAAAGGTCACAAAGTTAAAAGAAACACCTATGTTAAATTTTTTTTAATTTTACCACAGATCAATTATCTGCTAAATCTATGTAATATTCATTAGCTTCTAATAAAGATGAAACTGACCACTGAGTAGATATTTGTTTGAATAATTAGTTAACCATGAATTTAAGCAACACTTTTGTTTAAAAATATATTAGATAAAAGAAAACCCTGTGCAGTTCAACCCACAGCAATCACCATAACCACAACAACCATCACCAAAAAAAAAAAAAAAAAAAAACAGAACATGCTCCACAAAACATGAAAAGCCACAACATATGAATTGTTTTTCAATAATTTTTTAAAAATCTGAAATTTAAAATATTTATGAAAAGAATACATAACCAAAAATTCTTCAGATACATAAACCCAATATTGTATATTATCAATATACAGTAAAACCCCAATTTAAGGAATATCAGATTTAAGAGACTACTCATGGATCATAAGGGCCATAACAAACTGACTTTTTATTTTTATTGAACAAAGAAAATGTTAAAATAAATAATTCAACACGTCCATGTTAAATTAGTAGATACCTTGTTAACTATAAACTCACCAGGTAATGAAAACTTGCTATTTTTAAAGACAGTTTTCCCTATAAATAACAAACCCTACTTCACAACAGTCAGGGTGGGAGAAAGAGAGTGAGACACCCATCACAATGTTTCAGATTGTTTAATGTATAATCAAAGTTGCTTGCTTATTGTGAACAACTGCTCTCAGTGACTATCAGGTGTGTGCACTGAAACAAAAAAATTTTGGAAAGATGATTCTAGCACGCACATATGTAGTTACAGCTAAATCTATCTAGATAGAACCTTGTTCAAATCGGAACATTTTTCATTCTGTGCTTCATCATTATCAAATTATTTATTGAGTACTTTTTTAGATTTCAAATGTCTTTTGTAAATCTTTGTTCAGTAATGTATTTTTTTTATATCTTGTATTTGCTTTGTTGAATTTTTCAAATTTTAGCTAACAATCACAAGCAAAATTCTAATACATTGTCTTTTTGGGCACATTCTTCTAAGCCCCAAGTTATGAATACAAAGTAAATTACAATGCAATTAACACCTACAGCAGTACTTCTAAATATCCTCTCAACATGAACAAGAAAAATTATGATTGGTTTATTTGATATTTTATACAGTTTTATATAACATTGGCCATTTGCATACTGTCTCAAGTTTAACAAAATTGATGGATACTATTTTGTTAAACCTTTGACAGCATGAAAATGGCCAATGTTATATATATTTTTTTCTGCTTTATGAAATGAGTGATTTATCTGATTTAAGGAACACACTCCCCCCCCCTAATTAGTTCTTTAGACATTTTGCTGCAAAGGTGAGAAATGTAACAATTTCTTCACTTAGCACATGTGGAGTTATACATCTACTTTTCATTGATTTATAAATATATGAAAAATAAGGAAAATTCTACATATTTGCTTTCATTTGGTTATAAAACATTAGCATCCTAAAAAATATCTATTCTTCAAATTTTCTTACTTTATCTTAAAATTTTGAAATTTATATATATTTTTTGTATTATGCTTATATTTCAAAATAAAAATGCAAACTAATATATAAATTAATCACTAATGAAACTATAAAACAAACAATAATAATGTTCAATTATTCTATTTTGAAAATTTTTACAAGTAGCTAAAAAGCAATTTTACAGTGTATGAAATAAATAAGGTTAGTCCTCTTGGGCTACAAAATGATAAAATTAATGACAGAATTTTGAGATCTCTAATTTATAATCAGTACTGTTAGAAAAGAATATTTCAAGTTCAATTGCTAATGCCAGTGAAAATTAATTAAGCACAATGAAACATAACCTATTTTTTTCAATTAAATCAGTCTATAATTTAGCAAATTACTTGTATCTGTTAAAATATATATTATGCATAACATAATTTGCTCATTTTTAGTAAATTATTGGAAGTACCTAGTTTTATCTATTTATTATTTTTATACTTATAAATTCTTTCATTTTCTTGTAATTTTTTCATAACTATTTCTTTCATTTGTTTTTCCATTATTTATATTTTCATTATCCTTTCACTTGGTTCGTTTCATTTGTAATTGTTGTAAAAAAAAAAAAAGCCAATAAATGATACAAATTTATGAACATATACACATGGCTTATCTGTGGGTACAAAGATACACACACTTTTGTTCATTTACTAACTCTCCTCTTCACAAATAAAATAGTTTTACTACTGTAGTTAAGTTAATCTTGAAAATATGATGCAAGTATTTTTCCTATGTTAAAAATAATGATGATTTATTCTATATATAAATTGTCAAAACTGATTAAATTTAATATTGGATATAGTTTGGAATTTTCTGATGGTAAATATAAGTTGCGCATTAATTATTGAAATACAAAAAAAAAATCTTATACATTCATTAAATATACTATTTCAACCTGAAAACAATTTATCCTTAAGCATCCAAAAAATTGGTATTGTGTAGAAGTAAAATAAAATAAAAATTTGTCTAAGCTATGCTATGCAGAGGTTAGTGCTTTTCCCAACTGTTTATAAATTTGATTTTGTTGGAAAGTAGAATAAATAATCTTTACACTATTATAATCATTGCAAGGAAATGAGTGATGTTAACACTTAAAAAATAATTTATTGCACTCCATCCAAGACCTTTCTCTACTTTTTATTGTGTTGAAATTTAAAAAAAAAAAAAAGAGCCAGTAAACTGAATCAATAACAAATTCTCAGGATTTTTATATAAAAACTGAAAGAAAAATAATTTATAAATATGTTTAAAGTTGTTTTTCCCAAATCTATAAGTAATTAAAGATGTCATGATTTTGATTTTAAGTGACTCTGAGGGAGAAATATTTTCTAAAAAAATTTAAAAAAAATTAAAAATGCATACATGTTGACTGATTCCTGAAGTAGAATTTTTAGATTCTTTTTCTTTAGCTGCCTTAAGGGTTGCCTCCCTTCTTGCCTGTTCTAACAAAATTCTAGCTCTTTCTTTCAATTCATCATGGCGGGATTTTCTTGCCTAAAAAGTTTTGAATACAGACATAAATTATTGTATTTTAGATTTAAAAAAAAAAAAAATAATAAAGAGAGTATGAGAAACAGAAAGAATGGAGGTGAAAGACAATTTAGGAAAATTTGATAAGCAGAAAGCAGAGAAAGAAAGTTTTTTTGTTTTATCCAAGCATTTTAAAAATACATAACTAGAAGTGTTCAACTTCATTCTCATAGACATTAACATTTTTAATCATTGAGATTGTATCCTTTTATAGCCAAATTTCTTAAAATTTAATTTGTAACTTATACATACAAATATTTCTACATTTATAATCTATTAACTGATATTAAAAAATTTTTCATTATTTTATCAAAGATAATTACTATTATTCCCCATGTATAATACGCCTTCATCCATAATACACATTCCTAAAATTGTGCTGAAAGTGTGGGAAAATGCTTCTATTCATGCATAATATGCACCACTTGTTTGGTAATTAAACACTATAAATTGTACCTCTCCAATTACATTATGACCAGCATTTACTACTCTTATTTAAAAAGATGGTTTTAAACATAGAATAATATTATTCTAATTTAGTTTTATGATAATTCTTATTTTATAGAAATTTTTTAAAGATTTTCTTGTAGTTGTGCATAATATGCACCCCTGATTTTGCTTATTATTTTTTAGAAAAAATGCGTATTATACATGGGGAATTATAGTATCTTATATTTTGGCTAAAAAGTTTAGTATTCTTGAAGTTCGATAAATATGAATTTGGACTACATTGAGACATCTATAGTTTGCTAAAGTGTTCTTCACCTGCAACTTAATCTCATTACTGAATTAAAACTAAAATAATTCAATTTTCAGATGGCTGAGGTTTAAAGAAAATAATCCCTTGAATAAACTTGGACAAATTTTCAAGCAATAATGTCACTAAAATAGAAAATGTCTGTTTATTTAGTAAGTTTTAATTTTGTATGACAAGAAAGCTAAAGCTATTTTAGCAGCAGACAGAAAAAACAAGTTAATATTAATGTACAAAACCTCATTTCATCTAGTAATTTATTGTTGAGTATTATAGTCCAAAGTGTGTCAAAATATTCTTTTGATAATCACAAGCCAGAAAGGACAGATATTTATTTCATAAATGATAAATTCCTTTCTAAAGTTCTATTTGAAAAATATATCTTGAGATATGTAAACTTGAACAAAAAAATGTTAAAACATGTTTACCCTTTCAAAAAATTTTGAAGAATTTGACAAGTTATAACTTATAGATTTGTATAAAAATGTGTGTTCTTTATTTTTACTGCATTAACATAATATTAAGTTGCATTAAAAAATAAAGATTCACAAAACAGACTTCAAACACTATTCATAACTAATTTACATTGTAAAATATTCAAGTTTATAAAATCATTTCTCAATTCAAAAAATTATGACATTCATATGTACATATGATTTCACAATACTTTTATAATTAGCTTTTTCTACCATATTACATTTTCTGTATATTTAATTACATGTAACAATTTTGCTAACTTTTTAAAAAAATATTAGACTCTAAGTGATACAATATAGATGTCTGAATTTATGATACTGTGTTAAATACATGATTATATTTTAAATTCCACAACAAACTGTAATACCATTTCAGTTTTTCTTATTAAGATTACCTTAAGAACAAATCTGAACACTTCTGAATGAATGCTGAAGGCAGAGAGGATTACAGAATTTAACAAACTAATATCTAAGGAAGATTTAGTAATTAGCTCAGTAATAATCATATTTACATTACCTTTTATCCAAAATTATATATTTTTAAATGCATGTGCTTTACAATAAAAATTAACATTTTTGTTAACAAGCAAATATCAAATAGTTTAAATTTTTAAATAAGTTTTAAAAATTATTTGTTTCTGTAAAATTGATATTTTTAGTACATTCATAATTGAGCTAACATTAAGTTAACATTAGTATACAATCATATTAGTCTTACCTTTTATAACTAGAAGTAGTGATACAATGCTTATTAACATGCAAAAATATAATCATATGCCATTGAAACAAGTAACTGGGGATATTTTAATCAAAATTCTAAATGTAATACAGATTTCTCAATACTGAAGTATAAATATCATATACAATCAAGAGGTTAATTTTATTCATAATTATTAATTCACTTGTCTCCCTATTTCAATCTACATAAGGAAAACATTTCAATATGTATGATAAACCATATAAATCATTACAGTAACAAAAGAAATTATCATTTAAATATAAATTTTCATGAATTATAAAAAACTGTTGAAAAATTGAATTTTGACAAATCAAGGAAAAAAACATGCAAAATTTTTGCACATTTATTGAAAATGTTCAATTTCTTTTAATTCAATATATCTTTTCAAAATTTAGTCATGTTCAAAGTATAAATTAGAATCTAACATCAGATCTGAATTTATTTTTTATAAACAATGGAACTTATGAAGTTATTCTATAAAAGGAAGTATTAACAAAATCTCAAATAATGTTGAAAATATTTTTTTAAAAATCTTACTTTTCAAAAAGGAACAAGTGTTTAGAGAAATTTGACAGGCCAATTTTAAAAACTTTTAAAATGATTAAATTGATCCCAGAACTATTTTAAATGGAAAACATGCATATTATGTTTGAAATGAAAATATAAACCACCAAAATTGTGTTAGTATAGTTAATTTTCATAAGCCTATTGTTATAAAATATAGAACATATTTCATTCTTAAAATGAAAAAAAAAACTTTATTTTTCCTAATTTCTATAAAAGATATCCAAAAATACGAAGCAGATCATTTAAAAAGATTTTTCCTATTTAAACCTGCAAGTTTCAATGGATATCCTAAATTGTTCAAATATTTTAATTATGTATAACATACATTCTTTGGCTACCATATATACCTCGCATATAGGTCATACCAGTAGATAGGTTGCACCCTTAGTTTGGGGTTGTCAAAATGGGTATTTGTGGTTGACTTGCAGATCGGTCACACTATAATCTGTGGAGTTACATGGTCTTTTTTTTAACGTAAATATAACTAATATTTGTTAAATATTTTCAAATATTCACCTTTATTTCAAAACTTTGCTTATATATATATTAAAACATAAAAAAGTGATTGATTGTAATTGTACGGTATTTGCTTATTGAGTACAGGGCTGCTCCATTTAGATGATAATTTGGATACTGGTAATCACTTCAGTTCTAAAGTCATTTGAAAATGATAGTCTTTCATTGTAAATCAGATAATAAATATGAGCAGTGCAGATCAAGTGCTTTTATTTGATGTATGATGCGGTAATACTTTTGGAAGAGCCAATTGTGTAAAATCAAAATATCAGGAAGAATTAATTTTCTCCCTTGCTCTACTTATGCTTGACCCCAGAGTACTCACTTACCTACTTTGTCTGGACTACTGTGATATGCTACAGTCTACTTCCAATTCTCTATGATGTTAAGTGAATAGGTCACACCCCTGATAATTTTATCAAAATTTTGGTGAAAAAAAAAAGTGCAACCCATCCTTAAGTATATACAGTACATGAACATAAGACTTTCAAATATGACAGTATTTTTTCTCTAATTCCAATGGTTTTGTTCATTTTTACAATACTTGTTTCATAACTATTTTCTAAATTCTGTCTAGATTAAAGATATTAAGAGTAAGCATTATATATCAAATATACTATATGCAGTCTTATGCTGATAATCTATTCTTTTCAGTCTAAAAATCAACAAAAGGAATTGTCAAAATCATACAAATTTAATCAAAAAAGAAAGAGATCTTGGCAATCTTGGACCTTTATGCACATAAAAAAATGGAGTGTCAAATGGATGGTTTTTCCCTTGATACTGCTATTATTTTAACTACCTTCACTCCTCAGAAATGTTTAGTTTTAAAATATAATGATTAGAATTTTAACAAAACTTAAACATATAAAAGTGAATTTATACATTTTCTTTGTTCTTCAGAAAACAAAGATATTAAGAACAATTTATTATATTACTTATTGGAGTAATTGGCAAAACATCAGCAAATTGCCAATGAAGTCAAACTTTATTAAATGGTAAATAATAATGATTTCCTTATAATCAGTTCACATATTTTAATAATTTAGAAAATGTTTCTAAATTTATGGATAAAAAATCGTTTTCTATTTTGTTATAAATTGGTAAATGATAAATATTGCATTGTATTAATTCTTAAAACATTGTAAATATAAAATTATTTTTGTAAATAAACAATCTAATAATAATAATAAATGTTTCATATTTTTGTTTGGAAATTCACAAGAACAAAAAATTTTATAAATTCACTTTCACCATGAGTTTAGGTTTTATTACAATTCTAAATATTGCTTTTTAAAACAATAAATATTGCTGAGGAGTGAAGGTAGTAAAAATAATGGAAGTGTTCAGGGAAAAACCGTTCTTTTGATGCTGCTTTTTGTGTGCATAAAGGCCCAAGATTGCTGAGGAGATCTTTATATTGTAAACTAATGAAATATAGCAATTCTTTAATATTTTCTTGTTAAAAATGCAAGTCAAAAAGCGTATACTTTTGTTTATGATAATAACAAGTATTTTTCTGTTTACTCAGTTTGTACTTCTTTTTTTTTATAATCTAAATTATTCTTTATACTGCATCCTAACTGTAAAATATGTCTTTTTGTTCCTCAGTTAATGCAACATTTCACAATCTGATAAGGATTTTTTTTCAGCCTAAGGCCTTTAATTGAAAAATGAAATTGTTTATTGTGCACAAAATCTTACAAAATTAATGTATAACCACTAGATTTATCAGTGTATTGTCTGATCCCTTTCATGCAATAAAAGTGTAGATCCCTTACAAATCAGCCCTTATTTTTTATCATCTAAAGACAAACAAAAAAAAATTTCTGTTAAATAAAACAACAAAGGCAACGAAATAGGCTTTTCAAGCCTTTGAAAATTTTGTACATGCTGATATCTAATTCAAAAATTAATGCTTTGCATAAACATCAGTGAGTAGATTTTATCTATAGAAAAAAATGCATCAAGTGCAAAAAGAAGCATGCATGGTGCAAAATGTTAATAAAAAATCATTCCAAATCACATAACAATGCAAAAGAATTCCTTAGAAACAAATATTCTGAAGACAAACATTTATAATTTCAGTTTTTAGATAAGTATTTAAACAATTTTACATATACTGTTTTCATACAAAATGTTTCACAAAGGACAAATATAAAACAGAATGAAATACAAGAGCAATTATAATGACATAACATATAAAAACCACAATATATCAGATTAACATAAATACAGGGGTAAATAAAATGATTTGCAGTTATTAGTAATAAGAATTAATGCAAAAATAATGCACATTCAGGTTTTACAAATACCAATCTCTTACTAACAATATAAGTTTACAATAATAACATTGAAAACCACTAATTTTAAACTACAAAATGGATTTCATTTTACAAAGACAAACAATGTAAAAGTGAAAACGTTTTCATTAAAGGTGAAATTTAAAATATATATATTAAATCTTACTTATTATAAAACGCAGATTGTGTGCGTGTGTGTGTACGTTTATATATTGGATCGGATTTCCTACATTTTTCAACCGATTTCAACAAAACTTCACAGGACTACGTAAAATTATCTTGCGGTAGTTCTGACAGCACCAAAAATTGGAAAAACACAATTGTTTTTGCACGAAATCAATTTGAAAACAGGATTCTGTTACCAGAATGAAAGGGGGACAACTCATATCGAGTTATACTTATTATAAAACCCAGGTTGTTTGTGTGTGTGTTCATTTATATATGGGATCAAATTTCCTACATTTTTCAACCGATTTCAACTTCACTTTTTTTTTGGCAGGTAGTGTTTCTTATTGTCTTGCACACTTTTTTCTTTATTTTTACATTCCGAATGCTTTAAAAATTCCATTTACAAGACAATTGTTTATAAAAAAATTCTATTCAATCGGTAGACTCATAACGATTGAAAACAATGTTTTTGTTTCAGTTTGGGTTTGACCAATTCGTTAAAAAAAAAAAAAAAAAAAAAAAATAAAACTAATTAAGAAATGCCTGTCCGTCAACCTTAAATCTTTGTCAATTTTATTTTTCAGTCTTTATGATGGTCGATACTTGATCTATCTCTTACTGTTACATCCCCAGGCAATGCCGGGCTCTACTGCTAGTCAACATATAAAATTGTGTAAATTCCATTAATCCATCAGACCCTCTAAAATAGCCATACATTGACCGATCAAAACCAATTTTGGGGAGAAGTGCGAATGAGTAAGTGGGTACAAAGTACAGTTTGTGTAGCTTAATACAATAAATTTTCATTAATTTTTTTGGAAAATTAAAAGATTTATTATTTAACATATAAAATACTCCTACTACTTTAAAAACAATTTAATGATTAAAATAACAAATACTTATTTAATAAAAATGCAATATTGTTTTTTGCATATCTTATCTTTAAGTTTTTATATACAAGAATCCAGTTTCCAGTTCACCCTGCCTTTGTGAGATCTATAAACAAATCACAAGGCCAAATGATACAAAAAGTTGGAAGTTGGAATTTGGCTCCAGAAAGAAATAGTTGTGCATGGCCAGTTGTATGTTGCATTCTCAAGAGTAAGAAATCTTCAGAATTTATTCTCTGCTGTTAAAAAGTAAAAAGGAAAAAAATAAATTTTCTTAAAAACTATTGTTGACCATGAAGTCCTACAAAATTAAATTAAAGAAATTATTAAACCACAAAGTCAGGATTTTGCCAAAGTATTTTCCAAACAGATCAGCTTATTCAAATTTCACTGATTGGTTTGCAAAATTGAACGAAATGTAGAGTTTGTAAATAACTACAAAAAAGTTTAGCAATAACCTCAAAAATACTAAATACTGTGAGGATTCTAGTATAACCAAATTTTGTAATATCAAATTTAGTATATTTCATACACAACTTTAAGCATTTAAATAACTAGAACAAATAGACTTATTAAAAACAGTTGCATTGCTTTACTTTCTGTTATAACTTTAAACTTTTTATTTTAAAGACATTTGGAACTTAACATTTAACATCCCACGCTAACAAAAGTTATTTCCCTTTGATTTCAATATAAAATATCAAGTGCCATATATCATACACTTCATGACCGATTAGGAAGATTTCATAAAGTTTCTTTCTGATGTAGACAGTTTGCCAAAGCAAAGCTATAGGGCCCAGTCTGTCCTACTATTTAACCCATAGATGGTGGAGGGATGGATTAATATCTTTCACAAGAGTACTTGCGTTTAAGTGAATGTAACAAATACAATTGGTGGTGTCAAGATCTCATCAATTTACTGTTGAGCTGGTGAGATGTAGCCATAAGTTCTATGCTACCGGTTTCTTTTCTCACACTTCTCACTTGAAGAACTCCTTTCAGCTCCGTGCTTTTCAGACAACTTTAATCTGCAAAAATTTTAATGCAATGTCAATCGCTATCTACTGTCCTCCTGATTACTCTTTTCTCTTTCCGCTTATTAGTAATGTTTCTGTCCCTAATTTTTCAACACCCTGTAACCCCTTGTGTCTTTGTGGCTTTACTAACTTGTTTAGGGTTATAAAAAAAAAAAAAAAAACACACAGCTCAATTTCTCATTCCAAACTGCTATTACACCACACTAATCATTTCAATATAAATAAGTGATTTTTTTTTTTTTTTTTTTGTTACTAATAACTGCAAACTCTTTAAGATATGAAATACACAGCTTTCTTTCATTTAAAATATCTTAAAAATTAATCTAAAATTACATTGCAGTTTTCATTAGGTTAAAATAATATATTCTGTATTCTTATTCAAATTCTTTTAAATTATTACAAAATCTTTCATAATTTATCAATGAATAATCATTTTACTAATACAAAAAAAAATTATACCTATTTCAAACTTTTCTCCAAAAACTTATTAAAAAATTCTTTGTAAACTTCAATTTTTAATTTACCTGATGAGCTTCCTAATCTTACCTTTTGTTGATTTGATATATTATCATCTGCTTTATCTGACAATTCTTTAACTGAAGACAATTCTTTATTTTGTATCTCTGTTAGTGTAATGGAGTTTGCACTGCAAAGAAATTAACACATAATTAAGAAATTAATTCTTTGTATAATGAACAATTTGAAGCACTTTAATATAATTATTCTTCCACAACATCAAAGTATAGAAAGAAGGTGAAAAGAAACAAATGTCTAATCTACTCATACCAAACTTATAAATATTTAGTTTAATTCTCCCATAGGTAAAAATCACACAAATTTAAGTATAATGAAAACAGTCAATACTAGATGATAGTGTACAATGAAAAGATCTAATAGATTAATCAATAATATTATAAGTCTGTTTTTTTTTTAGTTGTTTCCTTTTACAAATACAGAAATTACTATTTTTTAAAATTTCTAACAATGCAATGCATATCAGATGATAATGCAATCACATTTTTTTTGTCTTTTTTGTTGTCTTTCTTTTAAGATTATTGCTTACATTCAAAACTAAATAGAACTATCACTACAGTAAAGTGATTGTAATCTCAGATCACATAGAAATGTATACAAGTAGGTTGGTTCATAAGTAAACATGTTAATACATTTTACAAATATTCATTAAATTACTAACTTACACTAATTGCATTGTTCGGACTGTTGTCCTCATCTTTATTGCCATATTCACAATGTTTCAGCCGTTGTACACTCCAGCCTTCTTCAGGTGATAGATGTTGGAATTTTGAACTAAAAACTTTACTTAGTTCACATAGCCAAGTGTATAAAAGCATTGTTTGAGTAATACAATAAAATTACTTGACCCAAAAAGTTGCAAGTTTAATACCTGACCACAACAGAGGTAATAAAAACTTGGAGAGTTGTTACTAAAGGGAATTAACTTACACTGAGATATCCAAAAATGAAATGACACATACAATTAGAACAATCTATCCTCATGCTCTAAATAAAAGGTTCAGTTTGATATTTCAATGTATATCACCTGAAGAAGACCAGCGCATATGACAGTTGAAACGTTATGAATATAGGAATAAAGATGAGGACAACAGTCGGAACAATGTAAATAGTGTAAATAGTTACAATACTTCATCTCAGAAATATAGACAGAGCCTGAATAAGGCCAAAGCATACAACGGTTGAAACGTCATGAATATGGCAAAGATGAGGACAACAGTTTGAACGATGCAATCTCAGAAATATAGACAGAAATTAAAACTTTAATGAAAAGACCAAGGGAGACAATTATGTAATTACTAGGTAATAGATCTGGAATTTTTCTTCTTTTTACAGTTCATACATAATTAAAAACTATTATGAAACCTGTGATCAGGACTTTCTACAAATATAGCTTTTACCCAACAAAGAGAAAAACATTTTGATCAAATAAGACTGATAAATACAGCAAAAGGAAATATATGAAAATATGAACTGCTTTGCTAAAATTAAAAAAAAAATTGATAATCCATAAATATATTCTAAATGTAACAATTATTATTATATTTTTAATAATAAATTATATAAATTTCTCAGCTACTATATTTCTAAATAAAATCAGTTTAAAAGATTAAGATACTGCAACAAATTTATTATTGGTAATAAATAAAACCCTAATAAAAGCAGTATTTATAGCATTTAATATAAAGTTTTTATAGCTCAAAATACAGCTTATTAATAAGGATGGTATTCACAATTTTCAGCAACTATGAAATTAAAAAAGATTGAAAACCTGTATAAAGTATCTTAAAAAGATAAAAAAATATATATTATTACTTAGATTCAACAGGTGATGAACATTTCTGAAGAGAAATTCTTCTCCTTGGTTCTGGAGGAACTTTGTTGGCTATCACCTCTTCTGCATTTTCTTCCTTGTTCACAGTCTCTTCACTTGGTGAGGACAATTTTGGAGCTGATGGATATGATGGTTCTTGCTCCTCTTCATCATCATCAGAATCAAATGGGTTCATTAACTGCTTCCTGGTCATTATCACAGGCCTTTCAGGAGCTCTTCCTTTATTGTGTGTTGGTTTCTCAGGAACCTTTTTGGGTGATGTGACTGGGGAAGGTGATTTTGACAATGATGTTTTCATTGAAGCCTTTGGAAGTTCAGGTTCCTGTTGAGTAGTAGCTACTTTTGCCATTACTGGAGGTGGTGGAGCTGGCTTTTGTTTCTTAGAACGTCTAGGTGAAGTTGCACCAGTAGTATTTAATTTCTCAAAATTTGCAATATGATTCAAGATCTTTGTATTAAATTCTTCACGCTGATCAACAGGGGTTTGTTCTGGAGACTTTTCTGGTGTTCTGCTCCTACTCCTGCTCCTACTTCTACTAGGGAGCAGATCAGTTGGAGAGGTAGGACTTTGGGGTGATGCATTTAATGATAAATTCTCAAATATCTGCCTAGTTTCTTTGACACTTGGAGACCTGGAATGAGAACTTTCTTCACCATTTTTTTCTTCATCTTCAGGATCTACATCTTGTACTGGAGTACTTTCAGACACCACTTTCTCAATTTTCTTGCCATACATTTCTTCAGAAATTATTCTATCTTCCTCCTCATTTTGTTCCCCAAGAGTATATGTACTCTCACTTGCACTGGGTCCTACTTGCTGTATTTCAAGCATCTGGCCACAAAAGTATGCCCTTAATTGATGCAGGTAGGTCATCACAGACAGTTTGTCAGGAACAGCTAACAGTACCATATCAGAAGGTTCAATTAATCGAGGAATCCCAAGTTTAGCAGCAGCATCAAATGCCTGCAGTTAAAAAAAAAAAAAAATTAAAATAATGTTAATGTGTTTAAAAATAAAATTTATCCAAAAGTCTATGATATTTAAAATTGATTTGTTTGTTACAGCTTATCAACTGTTTGTTATTTAAATTAAAATCAAAACTTATTTTATACTTTAAGATTTTCTCTTGTAAGTGTATATATATATATATATATATATATATATATATATATATATATATATTAATATTTTTTTGTGAATAACAATGATTTTTTTCCAGATACAAGTCCCACTATTTAACTCACAGATGAGTGGGAGCTGAATTCATATCTTACCAACCATTTGTGAGTTATTTAAAGCCAAAGCATATTTTGGATTTGAAGAATATTTCTTTTCTTTTTTGGCAAGTAAATATTACATTAACAATTTTTTGAGAATAACAATTATTTTTCTAGATACGTCCTACTATTTAATCCATAGCTGAGGGGAGGTGGATTCATATCTTTATCAAACTTTTAGGAATTATTTAAAGCCAAAACCTATTTTGGTTAGGATGAATATATCTTTTTTTTGCAAGTGAATATTGCATTAACTTTTTGTGAGGGAATAACAATGATTTTTTCAGATAAAAGTCATACTATTTAACCCATAACTAAGGTGAGGTGATAGATTCATACATTAACCTTTTGTGAGTTACTTAAAGCAAAAACATATTTTGGATTGGAAGAAATTTTTTTTTTTTTGAAAATGAATATTACATTAACAATTTTTTGAGAATAATGATTTTTTCCAGATACAAGTACTGCTATTTAATCCATAGATAGGAGGAGATAAATTCATACCATTGCACATAAGTGAATGTAACCCAATTGTGACAATTAAAAAATCTGATTATCCATTCAGAAAATATAGATTATACTAGATAATGCAAATAATCTGTCAGTTTGGTATTCTGATTAAATAATCCTTTATTTATTATTTTAGCCTTCAAGGAAGATAACTCCTTAATGGAAGCTATCTTTGTGTGAGTAGCAACCATATAGTTTGAAAAACTACCTTGTTTTGATTGGTTACTAAGAAAGTAGATGATTTTGTTAAACAAAGAATATTACTGTCATGAACACATCTTCCCAACATTAACAAAACTAAATCCAACATAACAAGGATACCAATCCATTATTAAGTAGAGGTTCACTGAGTTGTTAAGTGAGCTATGACAAATGCTCTCATACAACATTACAAAATTTAGAGTAAGTAGAAATTAATTTGTTTTGTTTTTTTGTTTTTTAGATATCCAAAAATCAGAAAAGGCTATTTCAAATATAATTCATTAATTTCTGATTTAAGAAATAAAATTAATCCAAACTAAAGTTAAATTAAACAATTACTTTCTAAATTGTAAATTTGGCAATGTTTAAAATTCTTGGAATATTATTCCAATATTTGAACTTTGTAAGTTTTAAATTATAGCTGGATATCCTTATGTAGTATTTTTAAAACCTCGTTTTAAAAGATCTCACACACTAAAAATAGATACAAACCGTTTTGCTGTTGATTTTTATGTCATGAGGGGACAGTGAAGCAAAATCACTGAAAATAAAGAAAATGTTTATGTAACTTAAGATGCAACAATATAAAAAATAAGTTCAATATATCTAATTGTATATAAACTGTACTACATATATTTTAAGACAATTTAAATTATATTCAGGCTTATATGTTAAATATATAGGAAAATAAAAATGTTCTAGTGATATTGAAATAATAGTGAAAAGATGTAAATGCTTAATTTACTTTTACTTTTCCAAAGTGGTAAAATTACAAATGTATTCAAAGTAATTTATTCAAAACTTATAATCAAAGTATCTTAACTTCATTCTGTTGAAGACTAGTCCGAGGTTCCATTTTGAGAACTGGGTCGTTCAGAATCAATTTTCACAAATTAAATTAAAATCCATCACAGAATTATTTAGCAACTGATTTAAAACCAAGCTTATTAATTAGTAGGTATCCATTAAAAATATTATTTTGTAAAAATAAATAAAATACTAAATGAGATAAGCATTTTTCATAATAAACCAATCAATTTAAAGATGCTGCATAGATAATGAGGTGCCTGATCAACTTTCCAAATTTGGGGCAAGGGACCAAACATCAGATTTTGCAGGGAAGTTCCTTCTTAGTTGACTAAGGGCTTATTATCACCCACATAAGTAATACATAAGGAAAATGTTATACTGAAAGTCAAATATATTATCTTTAAATTTAAACTCTTTCATGTGGATTTTTCTATGTATAAAGAAATTATTTGCAACATCTGAAGATAATCCATTAATGCCTATGAAATTAGGTATCTTCTTTTTAAAATCCAGTGCTAATTATAGGCATAAAAATTATTAAATTTAAATTCTGAAAAGAAATCCAGTGTTAATTATAGGTTTCTACCAATAACCCACTCCTCCAAAATAGAATGGTAGGCATTAGTGGACTAATACAAAATTGCTTCATCATTTCAAGTCAGTAAAAAGAGTAAAATTACTTTGTATTAGCATTTTTTCTATTATACATTGTGAACAAAATTTTGCTGTTTCTTACAAACTAACAAATAATCATGGGAAAAGTATATGTGTACCGTGAATTATTAAATAATCTAAACATAATACTTACATTAAATCTGGTCTAAAATGGTGAATGAGGGCACAGAATGCCATTCCACTCCTCCAAGACGTTGTCAGATTAGTAACCCTTACACCTCTGTAACCCTTTGTAATTTCTTTACACCATTCAAGCAAATTTAGTGCAGAATTTCCTTGATCAGGAGGGGCAAGTTCCTTCTGAAAAAAGCAAAGGAAAATTATCAATATCCAAATATACTGAGGAATAGAATTCTAAAATAAATTTTATAGAAATACACACATTAAAATAACTACAATCAATAAAATATTAACACAGTCTTTTAACAAGTGACAAGCTTTAGAATCAAAATACTGTGCAATAAAAACAAACACACTTTCAGAATTTGATATACATAAATACTTTTAACTATATATTTTTGCCTTTTATCATCTTTGTTTTTGAGGATGTGCATGTGGTGTAATAGCAGCTAAGAATAAGAGCCAGTTTAAAATTTCAATTTAGTTTGTTAAAGTGTATGAATCAATCTCTTTTGCCCTTCAGCTATAGGTTAAATAGCAGAGCAAACTGGTCTCTCTAGCCATGGTTGGCAATGAGTCTAGAAGAAGAATAACTCTAAATTCAAAAATGTATGTGACTACTGAACAAAATTACAAGTTGGCCTTTGACAAGGCATAGCATTCAGAAGTCACCCCTGCCACTGAAGACAATGGCAGCAGGATTTATGATTTAGTCAAAGGCAGAATCTAACAGACCAGATTTGTGGCATTGAATGGAAATGGTGTCATGCAAAAGACCCTTCATACTGGACAGTTGATGAGACCAAGTTATTAACAGTGAAGAAATTGGCAGTAGAATGTTGGATTTGGTCAAAGGTAGAATCTAACAAACCAGATATGTAGCAGTGAACGGAAATGGTGTCATGCAAAAGACCCTTCATAATGGACAATGGATGATATGTAATTATTCTGATTCAGTTGAAAGCTTCGTGGAATACTTTGTATCTCCTAATATATGCACAACTGAACTCCTTATGATGACATATGGGGTCATAGATTCTAAATGCTGACAAGTATCACCTGAAAAAGGTTAGAGTGACAACAACTGAAACATTATGAATATGGCAATAAAGATGAAGGCAACAGTTCAAACAATGTAAATAGTGTAAATAGGTTCAATACCTCATCAGAAATATAGTGAAGAAGGAGACCAATAGTCATGAATATGACCACAAATATGAGAACAACAGTCTAAATGATGTGAATAGTATAAACAGTTACAATACCTCATCTCAGAAATATATAAAGATCATCGATAATCTCAAATTCTCTTGCACTTAGATGAAAGAAATCAACTACAGAATAAAATATAACATAAAAACTAAATGTTCCTTTAAAAGTTCCAAAACATAAAATATTTGGCAATCTTTAAGCTTTGTGCCCACAAAAAAAACAGTGTGTCAAAAGGACATTTTTTTTCCTCGGCACCAGTATTATTTTAACTACCTTCACTCCTCGGCAATATTTATTGCTTTAAAAAACAATGATGAGAATTGTAATAAAACTTAAACATAATGAAAGTGAATTTATACATTTTTTGTTCTCAAGAAATTACAACAAAAATAATATCACCATTTATTTATTTATTAGATAGTTTATTTACAAGAATAATTTTATATTTACATCATTCTAAAATCTAATACAATAGAAATTAAAACTATTGCAAGATAATATTTATCATTTACCAATTTATAAAGAAATAATATGAAAACAATTTTTTATTGATAAATTTATAAACATTTACTACATTATTAAAATGTGAACCAACTATAAGGAAATCCTTATTTACTATTTTATAAAGTTTGAACTGATTAGCAACTTGCTAATGTTTTGGCAACCATTCCAATAAATGTAATAAATAGTGTTTATTATTTTTGTTGTCAATTTTCAAGAACAATGAAAATGTATAAATTCACTTTCATAGGTTTAGGTTTTATTAAAATCTTAATCAGTAGTTAAAATTATAGCAGTGTCAAGGGAAATATCATCCTTTTGATACACCATTTTTTGAAGACATGAAGGTTAAAAATTGCCAATATGTCTTTACTCAGTGCCAAACTTTGCAAAGAGATGTTTAATGGAAGAAACCAAAGCTGTGGATGGTTTCAAATTTTGTTTATAATAAATAATCTACCATTTTAAATTAAGATTAAGATCTTGAATGGGTAGTTCCAATTGTAAAAGTCTTAAGGTTTTCAGATTAGCATAACTGATCTTTTCATGGAAGAAAATCTTATACTGATGAGCTCAGCTGTAACAGTTAGTGGGCATCTCTTTGCAATAAGTAAAAAAGTCTCTCCAAATATTCTACATATTTATAAGTATAACCATTTTTTATGTATGTATGCATAAAATGCTAGCAAAACATCAAAACCAGTTTGATGAAATGAAGATGCTATCAAGGAGATCATTGCAAGAATGAATTAGATATGAAGTTCTGTGTTGCAAAAAGGCTTGTCCAAAGAACAACACAGTAAACTGTTCAAGGAGTTTAAAGATGCAAACTTTGAACTATGCAGGAAAAATGGTGGTCAGAGCAAGCAGAAAAAATACAAAATGCAGTGAATTCAAATAATACCAAGTAGATGTACTGCTTGATGAAACAAGTATTTGGCTCCAGATTCACCAAGACTGCTCCTCTCAGGACAGAGGACAGCCATGATCACAAATGTAAATGGCATGTCCAAAAATGGAAGAAACACTTTGATGGACTACTGAATAGGCCTTCAAATGTGAACCATGAGGTTCACAAGAAAAGACCCCAAAGACCTATAGTGGTAGAACTTGGCAGACAACCATCACTGGGCAAGGTTCTGTGTGGCATGGAGGGACTCAACATGGGCAGAGTTGTTAGGGTTGGCAGCGTTCCTGCTGAGATTACGGTGAAACATTTAAGTCAACTTATGCATGATTTTATTGTAAAGATTTGGAGAAATGGAGAAGTGATAAAAAATTGGAGGGATGCAACAATGATAACTAGATATAAGGGTAAAAGTGCTCAGGAATTATGTGGTAATTATAGAAGGATTACTCTCCTTTCTTCGACAGGTAAGACCTTAGCCTCTCTCTTCTATTAAGATTAAACCAGAGCATAGTTGACAACATATTGCTTGAGTCAAAGTGTGGTTTGCCAAGACAGAGGGACCATAGATATGATCTTCACAGCACAACAAATCCAGGAAAAAAGATGTGAACAATAAATGGACCTTTATCAAATATTTGTAAATTTGAGGAAGGCTTTCAACACTGTTAATCGTGCTGGTTTCTAGAAGATTCTCTCGAAATTGGGCTGTCCCCCACCACTTTCTCAAGATTATGAGATCCTTCCATGATGACAAGGAAGCTTGTGTCAGTTTTGGCAGTGTGCTTACGGGACCCATCAAGATTGAAAATAGAGTCAAGTAGGGATATCTTCTTGCTCCTACATTATTTTCTATCTACTTTGCAATTGTACTGCTTGTACTGCCATGATGGTATTATAAGGTACAGGTCAACTGGAAAGCTTTTCATTCAACATATGTAGGTTTTCGAAAAGGACAAAAGTCTTTTTGAGTTTAATGCGCAACCTTCTCTATATCAATGACGGTGACCTTGTTATACACACAATTCAGCATGCACAGTAGGTCATGGAACAACTATCAGGATCATGTAAGGCTTTAGGAGTGTCCATCAGCCTTGAGAAGACAGTGGTGATGTATCAACGTGCCCAAGGAATACAGGATATAGAGCCATCAATTTATGTTAATGGTAGTCGACTTGGAGTAGTAGACAAATTTGTATACCTTGGTAGCACCCTCAACCACTGCTCTCTTGTCAATGAGATAGCCTCCGATGCATTTGCAGCACTCAAGGTCTGTGTCTGGAGTCAGAAAGGCATAAGAAAAGCAAACAAAAATTAAAATATATAATGCCTGTGCTATGTCATCTTTGCTATATTCATACTGGAACATTTTCATCAATGCTGCCTTCGGTCTGTGTTTGAAATCCACTGGATGCCCCACACCACTGATATTGTTGTTCTACAAAGGACCAATACACTCTGTGGAAGCACTTATACACAAGCACAGATTGCAATGGATGGGCCATCCATATGGTGGATGACAGAATTCCAAAACAAATAATGTATGGAGAATTGGAAATGGGAAAAAGACTGCAGCACAAGCCCAAACTTCATTACAAAGATTACCTTAAAGATTCACTATACAAGTGCAATATTGGTATAGATAACTGGGAGAATCTAGCTGAAGACCAGGTTTCTTGTAGAGCTGGTATTGCTGATGATGTTAAGATCTTACATGAAGCATCACAAAAATATGCAGAACTGAAGAGAGAGATTCTGAAGGGTTCCATGAATTGCCGTGAGGTGCCAACCTGGTCATGTACCCAATGCAATCAAATGTGTCTGTCCAGGGTAGGTTTGCTCAATCACTAGCAGTCACACAGCTTACTGTATATGATGATTTCATTTTGGAATACTTGAATGCCCCACCTGCACTAGGATGTGTGAGTCTATGTCAGACCTAAGGCACATTGGAAGTGATGATGATCATAGTCTCCTTCCCCCACCCAAAGATGATTTGATATGCCACATATGTGACAGGAAATGCAGATCAATGGCTGGCTTTATGAGCCACTGTCATTCACACAACCAATGAATGCAGTATTGTGAGGGGAAGTTTAAATGAAGGGCTGGATGTATCAGAGATGGTCATACTCACTTTGCAAGTCAACAGCCAACATGTATGTATGACCATTACACTTTTCTATCAAGGCTTATAATATAGTATCTGCCTAATCAGTCCTTCAAGCTGAAAACTGGTATGGTTTATAAGTGATAAACCTACACAAACTAGTAACTGGGAAAGATTTGTAAAATTTTCAGAGAGAAGAGAGAAAAAAAATATAAAAAAGAATAGTAGGAGATAAGAAAGAAGAAAAAAGAAAAGTAAGTGAAAAGAAATATATATATATATATATTATTAAAACAGAAGTAAAAATATTCTTATCAAAGGTCAACT